CCTGGCTGTTTTTTCATTATAAAAATTGGGATGATAGTATATTCTCATTAGGGAGGCGAGGATTTAAAATCAATGATATGTATATTCTATGCTTAATGTAATTATTTCCACATAATATGACATTTATGGAACTTTGTAATGTGCTAAGCACTTCACATATYATGTGTTTTCACATATCATTCCCACAACTTCCCTTTAAGGCAGGTATTATTATCTTCCTAATTTTATGGATGAGGAAATTGAGGCTGAGAGGTTAAGTGCCAAATTTGTGGACCAACAGCAGAAATTTAATATATATATATTTATTAAATTATCTCTAAATAACTAAATTAAATTAATAATACAAGGTGCAGTGGCACATGTCTGTAATCCTAGCCATTCAGGAGGCTGAGGCAGAAGTATTACAAGTTCCAGGCCAGCCTGGACAACTTAGGGAGAACCTGACTCAAAATAGAAAAGGGCTGGGGATATAGCTCAGAGCTAGAGTACCCTGAGTTTAATCCCCAGTATCCTCCCACAAATAAAAAAAAGGTCTTTGAACTTGAATGAAATGAAAAGTAGAATTTTGTGTGCYCTTCTCTGTTCAACATCTGATGAAGAGAGAGGATAATACAGGCTTCCTATTTAGAGGCATAAGAATATTTTTACCCTTTGTGGTAGTATTCTATATTTTTAAGTCTTAAGTGTGATACCAGAAAACTTTGTAGAACGTGAATTTAACATATTGATAATGGGAACATTTAATTTCTATATTACAATGATAAAAATAGATTGAAGAAATTTGTTTTTAGTGCTATTTGCTGGAATAAATTATTACACTTGGCTGTGAGAATGTTTTCTTCTCATCCTTTATACTCAATTCTAATTCTGGCCCCATGCAGTATGTTGGGAAATCTGAACTTATTACACCTCTCAAAGTCTAGTGGGTATGGGAGKGTCTTGTATTCCCCACTGGATTTTGAAGCCATTTTAAATCATTTCTGCACACCTTAAATCTCAGCAAATCTGTAGGCTGAGATAGGAAGATAGTAAATTTAAGGCCAACTTCTGTAATTTAGTGAGACCCTAACCAACTTAGCAAGACTATGTCTCAAAATGAAAAGGGCTGGGGATGGAGCTCAGTGGTAAAGCACCCTGGTTTAAATTCCCAGTACCAAAAAAAAAAAAAAAAATCATCCCTGAATAAGTCTTATTCTTCTGGGATTCTCTGGTGTTAGGTAGGGGAGGCTGAACTTTTTTGGATGTCTTAGGCCCACAGCAGGGTCCTGGTTTGTCTGAGCTCAGCCTTGCAGTTTCAGACAGAGCTAGGCAGAAATTTTGTGGCACATGACCATTTGCTTAGATACCTTTCTCCTATGTTTTGGGCCAGACCTTGTGGAGTAGGATGTTAGTAAGATATCCTTATAAGTGCTTCTGAGAAGGTTGTTCTTTTGTCTCTTTCCTTGCCACTTACCGTACTATTTCCATTATAGCCTTTCTGGGTAGGGCTGAAGTCTCTACAAGCTTTGATAGGATTTCAAATAATAGGATCCCCRGGTTGTCAGTTAAATCTAAATAGGTTTCCTTTTCTGGAACTATGGAAAAGGAAACAGATTTCAAAATGCATTCTGAACAAATCATTCATCAAAAAGTAATATAATAGATAATATTTTTAAAAAAATATTTTTTTAGCTGTCAATGGACATTTATTTATTTATTTATTTATWTATTTATATGTGRTGCCTAGAATCRAATCCAGTGACTCACRCATGCTAGGCAAGCACTCTACCACTGAGCCACAACCCCAGCCCTACAGATAATCTTTTTACTGAGTATTTCTTATAGTAACATCAAGTAAGGGATTAGAGATATAGTAATCATTAAAATTTTGTTCTAATTGGTAGAAAGTTAATTTTTTTTTTTTAGAAAGTAGAGAAGAGAGAAAGGAAGGAACACATTTTTTTTTTAGAGAGAGAGAGAGAGGAGAGGGAGAGAGAGAGAGGAGAGAGAGAATTTTAATATTTATTTTTCATTTTTTGGCAGACACAACATCGTTGTTTGTATGTGGTGCTGAGGATTGAACCCGGGCCGCACGCATGCCAGGCRAGCAYGCTACCGCTTGAGCCACATCCCCAGCCCAAGAAAGTTAATTTTGATTACTTGACCAGAGTAATCCCCAAATATAAAAAYACTTTTAGTTCAATGACTTCTAAGTAAATATAGTAATACTTTCAACATAAGCATGAACTGTATGCTATGAACTACTGTTTTGTTCTTCTAGGCAAAGAATTTTTTGATAAATTTATCTCTGGTTTGCAGGAAAACTCCCACTACTATCAAAGTATTTGCAAACAGTAACTTTTATCTTTATCTTAACTCTTTATCTTAAGGACAATTCATAATTTAGGAATGGGCCTGTTTTCAAAACTGTGTGCAATATTTGGAATTTGGAATGTATTTATCCTARAAAACAAGATATGAAAAGTGATTAGATTTTCCAAGGAAGGTTGTTAAGTTCCTAAAYAAACCGTGAGAGTACAAATAACAATATTTCAAGTATTCCAATAGAGCATGTATAGCCTTGTGTGAGAAAATGCTCTTAAACACAAGCAGACTTTCACAAGGGTAGAGGCATCATCAGAGTGAAGATATTTCTTTCTTTCTTTCTTTTTTCTTTTTTTTTTTTTTGGTACCAGTGAACCTAGGGTGCTCAACCACTGAGCTATATCCACAGCCTTTTTTTTTTTTTCCTTTGAGGCAAGGTATTATAAGTTGATAAGGATAGCCTTAAATTTGCCATCCTCTTGCCTCAGACCTGCTGGGATTGCAGGCATGTGCCACCATGCCTAGCTAAGAGGTATATTTATAAATTTATTATTTTTTATTTGTTCTACTTAGTTGTACATGACAGCAGAATGCATATCAATTCATTATACATAAATGGGGCACAGCATTTGAATTCTCTGGTTCTACATGAAGTAGAGATGTACCACCGTGCAATCATAAATGTGCCTACGGTAATGATRTTTACATCATTCTACCATCTTTCCTACCCCCATAAAGGAGGTATTTTTTAAAGAACAGTATATTATCAGCCAGGCACTGTGGCACATGTATGTAACCCCAGCAACTTTGAGGATCATAAATTTGAAATCAACCTTAGCAACTTAGCAAAACAAAACAAAACAACAACAACAAAACCCAAAACTGGGGATGTAGCTCAGTGGTAAAGTACTCTGGGTTTAATCCCTAGTACTAAAAAGTAAAACAAGCAAGCATATAAAAGACCCTATTATCTATGCCCCAAATCTTCATGAGAGCATGTTTCTTTTTCTAAAGAAATGTTTTTTTCTTTTGTAAAAGGAATGCCTCTGAAAGTAGTGCACATCCTCAGTAAGTAATTAAAACACTATGAAATGAGACTAAAATTTTCTACCCTTGTTACTTCCTGAAGGTTCTCATTGGAAACTAAAGGGCAGTATCATGTGAAGTAGGTCTTTAGACAATACCAGTACCTGCATGATTATTTAAATTAAAATTCTAAAACTGGGTTTGGGCATGGTGCTGCACATCTATAATCCCAGATAAGTGGAAGGCTGAGGTTAAGAGAATTCCAAGTTTGAAGCCAGCCTTGGGCAACTTAGTGAGAATTTGTCTAGAATGAAAAATAAAAACTGGAGGTATAACTCAGTGGCACAGCATTCCTGGTTCAATCCCCAGTACCAGATGACCACCACCACCACCACCACCACCACACACACACACACAAAAAAAAAAAAAAAAAAAAGGAGAAGAAGAAGAAAAAAGAAAAAAGAAAAGAAAATAGCAAAAAAAAAAAAAAAAAGCAAACTTAAAGTATCAATTTGTTTAGCAAATATTGTTTTGGAGAAGCAGTATAAAAATAAATCATATCCTCAAAGTACAGCTTTCTGATTTGTCTCCACATTGGAGGCCTAAGTGAATAATGTTTACATGTAGTGGGCTGTAGCTATCCAACTGCCATCTATTCAGGAACAMCTGTCAGGAACACCTCTGCTCACCTACAGCTTTGAGGAAGCGGTTCTTATCTGTTAGCACCTTTATGAAGTCAGAGAAGTTCACCTTCCCGTCTCCTGCAACAGAAATATAAGCTCAGAACAAGAATAAGATGTATTGAAATTATTAGAGTACATATTGAGTGTAAAAGTTAAAGCACTCTGGACCACTTAATACTTAAAATCAGAGCATTTTGAACTGGGGATATAGCTCAGTTGATAGAGTGCTTGCCTYACATGCACAAGGCCCCAGGTTCAATCCCCAGCACCACAAAAGTTAAAATAAAATAAACAAAACCACAGAGCATTTTAGGGCTGGAGAGATGCTATAAACACTCAGCCAGGGCTCCCAACCGCTGCGGGCCTGTCCATGGGCCTGTCCATTCACTCCTCGTCYAGAGTTTTGCCATTTTTACAAGGAATCTACCCAATATCCCAYTCCATATCCAGCCCTATTCTACTATAAAATAGCCAAGCTTTAGCCCATTTCTTCTAAAATTAAAGATAGTGCTATTAAAGTGGATGTGTGTATGCTTCCTAGGAAGAATAGAAAAATTATGCATAGTTAGTGGAAACAAGTGATAACTGGTGACATTGAATCACATGTGGAACTAATGCTGACTGAGTGGGCACTGACAGTGGGTGAGCTCAGTGAGGTGAGAGGAGATAATGTGCTGAATATATTTTTCACACAATGTATCAGCTTGAACTACTAATCACTAGGTCAGGATTTTTAATAAAAACATGATCTTTTTAATTATTATTTCTTACATCACAATAGAGGAGTGCATTACATTCATAATTTTTTTTGCATTGCAATTCTTAATACACCTTTATACCACAATTTCTCAAATCTTTGTTTGTATATAAGGTATRTTGACACGAAATTCACATCTTCATACATGAATTTTGTATAATGATGACTGTCTCCTTCCACTATTCATTCCCAATTTAGCTAAAATGCACATCATTCCAATATCCTTGCTATTAAAAACATGATCTTGATGCTTTAAAAATATWAAAAAAACTCTGTCATTTAAAACTCAGTGTAGGTAGACCCTAATGATGCAAASAGGATTCATACTTTATAACTTAAATGGAAACAAAGGGCTTGGATTTTCTGGGCATCATGTCAGTTTTTAAATTGTTCATGTTTTTGTATTTGTGATTTCAAGGTATCTTCCAAAATGAACATCATGAAAGATAACCTGAATTTGATATTGAGATAGTCACTCAGTTTCCACACAGGATTTCTCAAAGAATAGTTCTGAGGATTAATTTGATTTCAT